GCTTTCGGTGGAAATGTCAAGCAGTACAACATACCGTTTCCAACTTTCTGGCGCAGTGAATTGCGCCATGGTGCTCATTTTCTCACAAACGCTGCCCAACTGACCCTACTATACTGTTCAGTTGATAAAATCAAAAACAAACAACGCTCATGTCCAAGATTAAAAATATAAAATGGCTATAATATACCCATCGCAAACTGTACTCTCGTATTTGGAATAAACATACGTGCAAGACTATTTAAATTCTGATTTTTTTTCAGCCTACAGCCATCATACTTATTATAAAACCCAGGTTGTGTGTGTGTCTGTACGTTTATATATGGTATCGGATTTGCTACATTTTTCAACCGATTTCAACAAAACTTCACAGGACTACGTAAAATTACCTCGCGGTAGTTCTGACAGCGCCAAAAAGTGGAAAAACACAATTGTTTTTGCACGAAATCAATTTGAAAACGCAATTAAGAGGTATCGCTGTCGCGAGAATGAAAAGGGGACAACTCATATCGAGTTATACTTATTATAAAACCCAGGTTGTGTGTGTGTGTGTGTGTTCGTTTATATATGGGATCTGATTTCCTACATTTTTCAACCGATTTCAACAAAACTTCACTTTTTTTTTGGCAGGTAGTGTTTCTTATTGTCTTACACACTTTTTTCTTTATTTTTACATTCAGAATGCTTTAAAAATTCCATTTACAAGACAATTGTTTTTGTTTGAGTTTGACCAATTCGTAAAAAAACAAAAAAAAACAAAAAACTAATTAAGACATGCGTGTCCGTCAACCTTAAACAATAATCTTTGTCAATTTTATTTTTCAGTTTTTATGAAGGTCGATACTTGATCTATCTCTTACTGTTACATCTCCGGACAACGCCGGGCTTTACTGCTAGTTGATTATAGACATCACGAATCTTTTATTTTCCACTCTGCTCGTTTATTCCAAACTGCTCCCCCTTCGTACTTTGTTCCTTAATTTTTTGCTAATAAGGTGAAAATGAGCCACCATAGTCCACTGGTTGCTAACAGCTGATACTTTGGTTCCATCTTCAACAAAATGTGTTGTGTTTGCAGATCAAACAATAAAAATGTGGCTACATTTCAAGTCAGTCTTAATTTGATTCCTGAACTTTGACCATTCTTTTCTTCCTGGTTTTCATTGTAAAATATATACATGGCCAAAAGTTTGAATCAAAGAATACATTTCCGAACACCAGAAGTATTCTATTATAATTATGCCTGTCCCTCACTTCGTTAGTTCACACGACCGTTACGCCCTGCCAATACTTCCTAAACAATCGACTATTTCGTTTTGATCGCGTGGAAAGAGGTGAAAAGACGCTACTTGGTTTCAGTGAGAAAATGAAAGAAAGAAGGAAACAAAGAAGCGGAGATTCTCTCAATCGGATTAAAGTGATAAGAACAGATACTACACTTTGATCTTAGCCAAAAGTCGGAGAAGCTATTCTATTTTCTTGTCGCCTCATGTTGGCAGTATATGATACAAGGTCAGTTTAATGTGGGGAGAGTTAAAAGTAGCATATATATATATATATATATATATATATATATATATACACAAACACACATACATACCGCGTATATTTAATATTTGTTTGTTTATTTTATTTATTTTTATTTCTTTGTTTGTTAGTTAATGTTTATCTTATATTTGCATTTTTTATTTAATTTCATTTATATTTATTTTTTTTAAACTTATATTTATTTTATTTGTTTATTTATTTATTTTTAATTAGATGGCAAAGTAAGTATTTATTTATGTGCCTACACTTACCCATTATTTCAGTTTTCTTGTTGAATAGCTTATTTTGGTTTCTGAAATTAATTATTGCTATTTTTTGGCACTGAGCTGATTGATGTTCAGCACCTCAACTCTGGAGTTTCGTAAACGGACCCTTTTGTAATCGTTCTTTCCATTCGTCTGGAGTTTAGGTGTTGTTTTTAGCTTTCCTTAAATGCAAAGACAAAAACATTTTCCTTATATTAAATCTCCATCGGAGGTAAGATAACATTGTAGATGGTTGAAGAAATCCGCACTTATTATTAAGGGTTATCGGACACACCTAGTTCGTGCGGGCGGACACACACACACATACACACGCACTTTCTCTCTCTCACACACACATACACACTTTCTCTATCACACACACATACTCACTCACTCCCTCTCTCTTACATACACATGCACTCTATCTCACATAGACACAGGCACGCACCCACCCCTCTCTCTCTCAGACGTAAAGACACCCACTCTCTCTCCGTCACACAAACACTATCAAACACAGTTTCTCTCATACAAAGAGTCTATCTCATACACACACGCACACATACACACTCTCTCACAAACACGCACGCAGACACACTTTCTCACACACGCTCCCGCACGCTCTCTCTCTCATGCGCACACACGTACACTATCTCTCTCTCTTACACACACACTATATCTCATACAAACACAGGCACAGTCTCTCTGATACACACACACACACACACGCACGAACACACACACCCACTCTCTCTCACACAGTCTCTTTTAAACACACACGCACACACCCACTCTCTCTCACACACACTCACGCACGCACACACACACACTCTCTCTGTCACTCACACAGGCACACATGTACTCTCACTCAATCACACACACACGCTCTCTCTCTCACACACATATTCACACGCACACACACTCTCTCACACACACACTCTCACACACACGCACACTTACCCACACGTTTTATCTCTTACTCGCTCACACACACACTCACTGTTATTCTCTCTCTCACACACACACACACTGTCAGTCTCTCTCCCCCTCTCTCTCTCGTACACACACACACACACAGTCAGTTTCCCCCTTCTCTTTCTCATGCACACACACTCTGTCAGTCTCTCTCCCCCGTCTCCCTCTCTCACACACACACACTGTCAGTCTCTCTCCTCTCCTCTCTCTCTCTCTCACACACACACTCTGTCAATCTCTCTTCCTCCACCCCTCTCTCTCTCTTTCACACACACACATACACACGCACACACTTGTTATAAAGTTGATAAATGATTCCCTCTTTTATGTAGGACCCATTTATTTGAAGCTTGGTGAAACACTCCGTGTTCAACCGAACATCCGTTGGTACAAAATTGGAGGGGACTTTTATGTTCCTGCAAGTAAGTTTCTCTTTTATATTAAATAACAATGATCCGAAATGTGACCGTATATATTTATCGATCAATCAACCTGGTCTCGCTACTTAGTAAAGACTTATTTCATTGCTATGCTAATGCGAGTCATTATTTCGGCGCCACTCGAAGCGAACATGATTCGTGCTGCCACAAGAGCACAATAAACAAGTAGTGAGACCAGATTGATCAGACATCACCTTTTATTTCTTTCGTTTCATACGAGTTTTCTTTGGATCTTTTCATTTTTAATGATACCCCCAGATTTCTTTCTTGCTCCATGTTAAATGGAATCTGTGAATAAAATAATATACATCAGTAGTATTGATTGATATTTTTGACCAATGCCTTTTTACGGCTTATCAAATTGTAAGAATTTTTTGTTTGTTTGACATAATAATGGTTTAATTATACAAGTCTTACTAATTAACCCATAGCTGGGGGAAGAAGAGGTGGATTCATACCTCATCAAAATTTGATCGACAAACAAGAAATTATAATATGGATATAAAGTGGGGGATCATTTTTATATTACAATCAATATATAAACTGATCACCCACTTTGTGGCCACAGTAGTTTCTATACATTTATATTCCAGAGTGTATGTAAATAAAGCTAAAAGACAGGCCTGTGCAGCTAATCAATATTTCATTGATTGAGTTATTTGTTTTTTACGGTTTATCAACCCTTTGCAGGCTATATATATATATATATATATATATATAAAGACATGGTATTTCGAAGTACATATAATTAATGTGTGCGCAAATTATATTATTAGTAATATACAAAAATTTTAAAAATTAATAAATAAATTAATTAAATTATAAAATAAAATAAGTGAATCGCCTTCGTTTTGTAGGAGGTTCAATTTTTTTTTAGCTTAAATGCGATGTCAATCTGCATTTAAGAGCGTCTTCTCGAACAGCTTCGTGTATGACAACAAAATACCCGAAAAGAAAAAAAAAACAAAGTCCCTGTATTCAGAGGATGGGTACCATTCTAAATTTTTCAAGAAATCGGCGCTTCTTTTGCTGATTTTCAAAGCGTGGCCAAAAGTATGGAACACCCAGTAATGGATCGAACTCACTACGCAGTCGTAAATTGTTCTCGAGAGACGAGCTTGTTAACCATTACACCACGTTGAGGTACCCAAATAGTTTATGGTGATTTTCTAAGCGCACATTAGATGTAGGACAAAGCCGAAAGTACAGGGCACCCAGTGAGTAATTGTTCTAGCGAGACAAGTTGGCTAATCATTAAACCACGTCAAGGTGCCTATTTTTTTTTTTCAAAGGGTTGCTTAAATGTCCAAAAGTTTGGGGCACATAGTAAGGATCGAACTCACTACTCAGTCGTAAATTGTTCTGGTGAGACAAGCTTGCTAACCATTACACCACATTGAGATGCCTAAATCCGCGGTTATTATGACGGATTATCGAACACACACACATACACACAAAAAACATTCCCCCCTCTCTCTCTCTCTATCTCACACACACACATTTATATTAAAGCTGATGAAT